TGGTGTTGGTGGTCTCCGGATTGCCCACCACTGCCCCAGCGACTCCAGGCGGCGACGGTGGCTTTTTTCCTCTCTTCCGGCTGTCCGGCCACCACTCAGGGTAGCCAATTTTCTTGAAGCATCCTTCGGCCGTATGCTTCATCCCACCACAGAAGGTACACTTGAGCTGCGATTTGTCCTCATAGATGCGAGATGATGATTGGCGAAAATCTGATCGCACCGCCGCGCGTGTAGCCGCTAGGCCACCGCCAATTCCTGAGGGAGATTCTCCCGATGATGGCCCTTCTCCTTTCATTATTCCTTTTCTTGCTGCCTCCCTTCGAATTTGGGCGTACGCCTCTTCAATTGATGGAAGAGGCTCTGTTTTGAGTATATCTCTTTTTTCAGCATCAAATTCATTGTTTATTGCCTGTAAAAATTGATATAGACGATTTTGTTGTTGAATCTGTGTGAAAATCGTCATATCCTCTGGGCATTTCATCGGGTTGGGTCGACGTCTGTCGGTTTTCTTCCAAACAGCTTGTAGTTGGCTGTAAATTTTCTCCAACGGCTGTTCACCTTGTTTGATTTCGCTGGCCTTAACCATCAGGTCGTAGATTTGAAGGGGATCTTTTCCGGAGCTGTACGTGGCTTCCATCCCCTTCCACAAATCCCAGGCAGTAGGGTAATCGATATATTGATTAACAATATCTGATTCTATGTTTTCAAGTATCCACGTTATTACCGTTGAATCTGCTTGTCTCCATTTAATATATTTGGCATCATCAGATTTGAGAGGTGCGGCGATGATGTGCTTGAGCCGTCCTCTCCCGTCTAGAGCCAGGCTCATCTTACGCGCCCAAATGGCGTAGTTCCTATCGTTGAGTTTTTCCGCCAAATTTAACGGCTGATTGGAAGAGCTCTCGATAGGTTCGGCCTTGGGTGCTAAATTCTGAAAATTTTGGAGAATTTCCAGAATTTGTGCAAGGTTGACTGGCTGCTTCATTGGATCAGATTCCCCTGTGTAGGTGGAACTCTCTGGAGTTGGATCAGACATTTTTTTTTATGGTAGATGATGAACGCTGCGTATCATTCAATTGTTTTGATCGAATGATGGCTTTGATACCATATTAGAAATATAGAATCAATTCACAGATGAAAATGTTCATCTTCTTGAATACATCTCTAATGATGTCTATATATATTACAAAGTTAATAATGAAGACAATCAAGGAAAGTGAGTGGAAGTTAATCAAATATCCTGATTGGTTATTTGATTCCAATCAAGGACATTATCAAGATATTACACTATTCCCTTTTTGTTTGATATTTCTAACATATTATTATTATTATTATTGTGTAGTATATATATATGTGTGTGTGTGTGTGTGTGTAGGAGTGGAGTCCATAGCTGCAGAGGAGAAAGAAGGGAAACTAACAGTAATAGGGAATATGGATGCGGTTGCTTTGTTGAAGAAAGTGAAGAAGAAAGTTGGTAAAGTTGATATACTATGGGTCGGTCCCGCCGCCGCCATGGAAGAAAATGAGAAGAAGAAGAAGAAAGAGGAGGAGGAGGAGAAGAAGAAGAAGAAGGCAGGAAATAATAAAGAAGAGAAGAAACCAGTTGAAAAGGATAATAAAGGGAAGAAAATAAATTAAAGGGATAAACCAGTTGAAAAGGATAATAAAGGGAGTAATACTTATGTTAGTTACTCCTCTTTCATTATTTGTTCATCTCATATTTTTTTGAGAAATTTACCTAAAGAGGACTAAAACATAATTACTTTCCCAATATAGGATTATATTTTTTTATTTTCCCAATGTAGGACTTTTAATCATTATCAAGTAATCATTATTCAAGTAAATGTCCATCATTACTGGACATTATTACCCCACTAGGTCATTATTAAGTCCTATTTAGGGAATAAAAAAGTTTAAGTCCTACATTAGGAAAGTCGTTATGTTTTAATCCTATTTAGTGCAAATTTTACTATTTTTTTCCCAAACATATTAACTCTTTCTTCCAAAAAGATATTCCAATTCATATGTGAAAACAATATAAAGTTATTGAAAATGAAAGTGTATTATGTTTAAAAAAAAGTCAAAAAGGACACTGTGTTCATATAACTATTTTTTTAATTATGGTCACAAGTTTTAAATTAAATTCAGTGTGACATCGACTATTTATTGTACATTTTTTTTAATGTTATTGACTTTATTATAATGTAGTATCTGTTCATTTTATTGAAAAATTCTATATATGATTAAATATTACATTGTAATTGAGGTAATGATATTTAATTAAAATGTCAAAACAAGATGTCATTAAAAAAGAAAAATTATCATTGGACGACAAGAATAAATGAAATATATATGAAGAAGAGATGATCACTCCAATTGAATTGCTACATTTTGGGAAAGGGTGGAGGGTTAGTTGGGACGGGAGAGAGTGTGTTAACGTTTGGAAGAGTTGAGTAGAGTATGAATCACTTTTGAGCTCTATGAAACATTGCACATGATCGATACAATCTCATGACATTGATTCTCATGATCGATATGATCTCACTCACACTATGTTTGTTTCGTGAAATTTGAAAAGAAAAGAAAGAGTGATGTTCTCTCATTCTCTTTAGTGAAATGAAATGAAAGTAAATATATGTTTTCCTTCTCTTTAGTTTATTTCTTTTTACATGTATATCTTTTCCTTCGTTTTTTTTCTCTCTAAACAAATAGTTTCTCTCTTATTTTCCTTTTTCCTTTCAAATTTCTTAAACCAATCATAATGTTAGAACCTGCTTGATGAGTGTCGAAGATTTTTTCTTCCAATATTTCCTAATATCAGAATCTTCTTTTTGAATTTGCAATTGGCGAAGCATTAAAATAATAATTTTGATTTAATATCTCTGAATATCACAAACTTTTCTAATGCAAGATGTTATATCTCTTGAATTTGAAATATATCCTGATTTGGAAGTTTGATATCTGCATCAATCCTCGATCACCGCCACTGGCGACTACCCGCTTATCGCTAATTAAATTATACGGAGTACTTTCTTCATCCACAATTAATTGACCATTATAATTTTTTAAGATATGTAGCAAATTGATGATTCTAGACAACACGTATGCCTAGATTCATTCAACTTCAGTTAAAACTAGACACCCTTCTGTATCAAGAAAAAATTTGATCTGAGCAAAGACTGGTTGGTTAAAGAACGAACCACGATTCCAACTGATCGTCAACACACGAATTCCTGCTCCTCCCCTATCCCCTCCGGCGACGTGGCGTCCTCTGACTTAAGAAGATTCCACAGGTCCTTCTCCATCTTCATTAACCCTTCACCCCTCCCTCTACTCTGCTCAGGAAACAGAAGTGTTTGAAGAAGAGAGATGGCGATTCCGGCAAAGGCGCTTTCTTTCTCGTTTGTGGCCCACTTCCTCGCGGCGGCGCTGGCGGCGATGGTGTTGGTTTGGAGCTTTCACTTCAGGGGCGGATTAGCTTGGGAAGCTACCAATAAAAATCTCATCTTTAATGTATGTGCATCCACCCCTTGTTGCTCTTCTCTTTAATTTCTCACTTTCTTTCAGTTCATCTTTGGTTTTGTTCGATTTGATTTTGAAGTTGAAATATGAAATTTAAGTCAAAAGGACTCAAAACACACCAAAAGATTATATCCAATTACTCCATTTTGTTAGTCCCATTCAAGATTTTATCCACCCACCATTTTCTGATCAATATTCTGATGTGTGAATTTAACAGTTTGGCCTTTAAGCAGGATCAAAGGTTTGGTTTTGCTTAAACATTGATTAATTCTAGTGTTTTTCTTTACCAAACACTTCCCTTTTTGAAGTTTATGCAAACTCAGCAAAACATTCCTTGGCAAGCAGACATCTTCTTATGTTGGGGCTGTGAAATAAACTGTTGTATGATTTGATACAATGTGGTCACAATTGCTAACATTGGAGATGCAAAATGAAATGATACTTAAGTGTATTGTTATTGCTGAACAAAATTCAGGGATTAATTGCTAGACAATTCATGTTGCTTATGATTAGTATGTTCTTCTTTTGTTAATCTTTCACAGCTTCACCCGGTCTTGATGCTCATCGGCTTCATTATTCTTGGAGGAGAAGGTGAATCCTATATCGCATTTAGTTTTTTTTTTAACCTCAAAGGTAAATTGACCATCTCTTTGCTTCCCTAATCTGCAGCTATTATGAGTTATAAATCACTCCCATTTAACAAGGAAGTGAAAAAGACGATTCATCTGGCTTTGCACGCTGTCGCCTTGGTACTTGGTATCATAGGAATCTGGGCAGCCTTCAAGAATCACAATGAAAGCGGCCTTGCCAATTTGTACAGCCTGCATTCATGGCTTGGAATAGGCGTCATTGTTCTTTATGCCATTCAGGTGATTCTTGTTATATTCGCTGTTTGGTTAATCGTTTCAGGTCTCCATGCTTATATGGTTTTAAACTACTACTATATGTCAAGTAACCAACTCAAACAGAAGCTCAAACTTGTGGTTTTAGGCACATGAAAGGCTTTATACTTAAACAATATATTTGCAATTTGCAGTGGATTTATGGCTTTGTGGTGTTCTTCTACCCGGGAGGAACATCAAATATCAGACGCGAATCACTTCCTTGGCATGTGCTATTTGGTAGCTTTGTGTATGTCTTAGCTGTTGGGAATGCGTGTTTGGGATTTGTTGAGAAGCTCACCTTCCTTGAGAGCGCGGGTCTGAACAAATACGGATCTGAGGCATTTCTGGTCAATTTCACAGCCATTGCGACGATTCTGTATGGGGCCTTTGTTTTCTTGACTGTCCTTTCTTCACACACTCCTCCTCTAGATGATCACAGTTACTCTGCAATATGAGTGCATGCTTGTACTGTTATGGTATGTTGTATTGTATAGTTTAGCCGTACATGTGCCCCCCCACCCCACCCCCACCCCCGTACGTGCGTCGAATAAGTATGAGCAGGATGGACTTATCTGCATTTTGTTTTCTGCAAATAATCTTTGTGTTCCTAAAGAGTCAAGAATGTGCTTAGTTGTTGTGTGTTGGTATTTGAGGCTATGAATTACCTATATGCAGTTTATCATATATGATGATGGTCTTTTTGGTCATTATCCAAGTTAAAGTGAGAGCCTACAATACAAACAAGTCTAATTTGAGTCAAGTCCAACAACAAATCTATATTTTCATATCATACAATAAAAAATTTATTTACATAATTTTATAGCAGCACTATTTATGTAACACACTACCATTTTATTTATTAAGTTGCGATCATTAATGTATAATTCTAAATTTGAGATTATTAACGTATAACCGTTTTGGTTTAAATTATTTGGAACTTGAGTTTTCAGTTGACTCTTGGTTATTTTGACCAATTTTGGATTGTTTGACGGGCCAATCAACCAAATAAAGTGTTGGGTCATTGGTGGTAAATCTTAAAAACTAAAATGAAAAATTAAACCGAGTAATATTTCAAGTTAGCTCTTAGACGAATATGGAGTGTCTATGACCGCTTATTAATCGAAGTATCTAATTTGTTTTGGTTGCACTAACCATGTATTCATGTTTTACCCTTTGCTGCCCAACACTCTGTTTAAAGGTATTTATTTGTCACATATAAAGCTCAGAGCATTCTGTCATGTTGACTAACCTGCTAGAATCCGGTGGTTTACATCATTCTCTATTTTCTCGATTGATGCACTCAAGACATTTAAGCCCCGTTTGGTACACGGAATTCAAACTATGGAATTGTAATTGAGGACTTCAATTCCATTTCTGGTGTTTGGTAGCACAAAAATTATGTGAATTTGAAATTGACAATGCAAAAAATGAATTGGAATTGACGAATTCAATTCTATGAAATTGAATCTCATGGAATTTCAATTCCAATTCCATCAATTCCGTATACCAAACGGACCCTTAAACTTGTTCACTTGTGTTATAATATATTCTCTAACTTTCACCTCAATGTTAATAATTCTTATTCAGTTACTAAACTTGCACTCTATAAGTCTATATACTCTGTGTTAATGCAACTAATACACAAGCTATGCAAATCCAAAGTATGTCTCAACAAATCAAACCTCCCATTTGAGTATATACTCTGTGTTAATGCAACTAATACACAAGCTATGCAAATCCAAAGTATGTCTCAACAAATCAAACCTCCCATTTGAGTTGGCAATTTAATTTGAGATTGATGGAGTTTGTTTTGCGGAAAATATTAAATTATGCTCCCTCCATCAGAAAATTTATCTTGTGTTTACTATTTCAGGTTTTTGATAATTTTTATTTGTATGTACTTTTTCATAGTTATTTGATAAAATAAAATATTAAGTTATATTGTACTCCCTCTGTCCTAAAACTTTCTTCCCACTTCCCTTTTTTCTCCGTCCTAAAACTACCTTCCCATTAGGAAAAAAAAGATAAGAAATGACATTAATACCCTCATGTTTTTGCACCAATTATCTTCTAACTCTATATTTTGAATGATTGTAAAAACAAATTTTCAAAAAATCTTTTTTAAAAAGGGTAAAATTTGAAGTCAAAGCCAAAAATTAAAAATGTGGAAAAGTCAAACTGGGAAGAAAGAATTAAGACGGAGGGAGTAGAATTTTTGACATAATTTTTAAATATATATGTTATATTTTTTATTTATATACGAATTTGTAAATAAAATCATTTTAAAATAAATGAGATTTCGTACATTGTTCAACAAATAAAAAAATTTATCTCCTTTAACATTTCTTGGTCGACCAACTAAGTTAAGTCCACCAGAGACAATTTCTAAATAGAGTTGTTCTATCATGAATCTAATGTGGACCTTACCTTCTCTCACTTTTATGGGTGGTAAGTGGATCTTTTATTTTCTGTAAAAACTCAACTCTTTTATAATATCAATACACTAAGATCCATAAAATAAACGTCGACATTAGGATCATGGAATAATTTGCCTTCTAAATAAGTTCACAGGTCACATCCGTGTTCCAATTAAAAGGCAAAATTACTCACCCCAGGCGCTCCTCACCCCTTACTCGATGGGAATACGAAAGGTGGTAGTTCAACCAGCAACATGGTCTGGGACTACTGCTCACTGCGCACAACGAGCCCCCCTCATTTATTTATTTTTGAGAAGTTGCTCCCACACTATCGCTGGTAACTGGTAAGGCTTGATCTTTAGTCGCTAGGGCTGGGTTGGGAAAACCGAAAATCAAAAACCGAACCGAAATCGATCGAAACGAGCTAGAAAAAAACCTAACCAAAAAAACCAAAACCGAATGTAAAAAAACCGAACCATTATTGTTTGGTTCCGTTTTGGTTTTTACTTTGAAAAACCGATCCGAACCGAATAAACCGAACTTATTTATATGCTTCATTTTATTTATATGAGTATATGTGATATGTATAAAAATCATATAAACAAAAATGCAAATAAATTATTAGTCAATTAAAGTTTTTTTCTTAACTATTAATTAAACATTTTAACCATATTATAAACTTTAAAAAATCTAAGAATATAAACACCAATAACTAATCTTAATATAGAATTATAAAACATTAAAAATTAAAATGAGTAGTTAACATATTTAAATAAAAAAACTTTGATGTTATAATGAAAATAAAGTACTGTATAAAAAATTCCAAATTCTCTGCAATTGATTTTACATACGATATCTTTAAGATTATTTAGAATCCTCTAGATGTTTGTTAGACACTTGACACATATTTTGTATATAAAATTGAACCAATGAGAACACTAACCTTCCGCTCGGCTTTTTTTGTGTGTAAAAATCAAGCAAAAAAACCAAACCCAAACTTACGTATTGTTATTGCTTCGTCGAGTTAGTATTTATACATTTTTTAATGCTTTTAAATATTTACTTTTATAAACCGAAAAAACCAAGATAAAAACCGCATAAAACCGAACCGAATAACCAACGGTTTACATATTTTTTATACAAAACCGAACCGAACCAAACCGCCAACTTACCTTCCGTTTTGTCTTTGGTTTTGGGTAAAAACCGAACCGCCAAAACCGAACTCACCCCTATTAGTCGCTCGTTCAAAATTCTACACCTGAAACCAGTTGAGCTGCTCATGCGGGTCACAAGCCACACCCTTGAGCGGATGGATGGTCTATTTGTTGTTTATTTGATTGGTCCCCACATCCATTAAAACAATGCCTGTCCAAATAGAAGAGCAGCCGAATTTTAGTAAAATAAATCTATACGACCATTGAATTTGTAAAAATTTAAGGAAATGAAGAAGATTAATTAATTAATTAAGGATAATTAATTAGGGAGGGCAACCATACCCAGCTGTGTTATGAGTGTAAAAGGGATATGTTTCCAGCCGTTAGAAACAAAATCTTTGCGTATCCCACTTGTCCCGACTCTCCATTGTCGGGTGATTAGACTCCATGCTTAGCAACACGGCTTAGGTGAATTAGTTGGAATTAGACCTGGCAAAAAATGACTCGTTTTTGACCCGAAACCCGACTCGAAAATACTGGGTTTTGAACAAAGGTTTTGCTGACCGAACCCGAAATGACCCGCTAAAATGGGTCAAATCCGACCGAACCCGAACCCGACCTGACTGACCCGCTAATCTAAGATTTTTTCAAAATCATACATTTTAATATGAAATATAGTGTTATAAAAATAAGATTATGATTATATTTCTTTGCTTACAACTCATTTTTTGTGTATAAATTTATAACATCATAACAAATTTTAATGATGTCACATACTTATCTTACATTTTTTCAAAACTTCTACATATTTAATTTTTTTTATTCGTAATATTGACACTAAGTCATAAAACTTACTTAAAATTTCAAAAAAAATAAATGAAACTCATAACCCGTTGGGTCAACCCGAACCCGATGACACTGGGTCATGAACATGTAGTTATCAACCCAAACCCGAACTTAACCGAACCCGAAGTAACCCGAACCCAAGGTGACCGAACCCGAACCCGACCTGACCGACCGATTTGCCAGGTCTAGTTGGAATTAATTTTGAAAAGAGGATTATTGGAATTAATTTTCTAAAAATAAATAGTCCACATTATTTATACAATCAAACTATATTTACTTTGTCTGTTTGCTTGTTTTCAATATTCAATTCATTTAAAGTATTTACTTGTTACAATGTCTCAAATCATATCATTTTGGCTTGTTAAAAGATATTCCCTCTGTCTCAAAAAAATTTACACATTTCATAATTTTTTGTCCCATAAAGAACTGCGCTTTTTTCTGAAAAGGACATTTCTATCCTAAAACCTAATATCTACCCAACCCTCAAACCCCGCCCACTATTATACTAGTATGTGTATTTCACTTGCTATAATATCTTGTTTTACACTATTCATGGAGTACTTTTACATTAGGGTAAGGAGTAATATGGGGAGGTCAATGGAAAAATATGTTTTTCTTATTTTGCTTAAAAATCAAAATGGGTAAAACATTATGGGACGGGGGGAGTATATAATAGCAAGCCAAGTATTTTTGTTCATCTCCAAAAGATGTGCTATATTTTAGCAAGTTTGTCATAAAATGATTTTGATTTGTTAAATATAACAAGCTTCTCAAATTATAGCAAGTTTATAGTTAAAAAATAAAATAGTAAGTTATGATTAGAAGTGCAACAAATTAAAATGATAGTTACTATTGACTTGGTATAATGTTAAATTATCAAATTCATATAAGTAAAGTTGGAGATGCTCTTAGTGATATACCGATAGCAGATCATTAGTTGTTATTTAAAATACCTTCTAGGTAGCATATTAGCAACGTTGACATCTATAATGAATTAATGATAAACTCATGTAAATGGTCATTTAAAAAGTTTGATTTTACTCTCGATATTTTAGATGAATGACTTAACACAATACTTGAACGGAAGTAAACATAAAAATAATGAAGTGGAGTAAGAAAAAAAAGAAAATCAAAGGTTCATTCAAAAAAGGAAAATGAAAGGAAAGAGTTAACTCTCCACAAAACTCAACTTAAGAGCTTTAATTCCTTCTTTAGCTTTAATCCCTCATTAAGACAAGAAAAATTTACCTAAATAAGATTAAACTTTCCCAATATAGGACCATATGTTTTTATTTTCCAATGTAGGACCTTTGGTCATTATCAAGTAGTCATTATTCAACTAAATGTTAATAAATACTGGACATTATTTCTTCCACTAGGTCATTATTAAGTCCTATTTAGAAAATAAAAAAAGTTTAAGTCCTAAATTAAGAAAGTCATTATGCTTTAGTCCTATTTAGTGCAACTTTCACTTAAGACAAGGCTACACTCATTGATCTTAAGAAAGAGCTATGAAAATGTTTAAGTACAAGAGAAGAGATCCATTTATCACCGCAATGATACTCTAATCTTCACTCAAAACTCGATTAACAAGTTATTCTATCATGGTTCCATAGTCTATATGTGAAATGTAGTCAATTCTAATCTTTTTTTATTTTTGTGAAAGACTCAATTCTTGTATGATATTAATGTACTAAGGTTCATAAAATGAATATGAACCTTAAAATCACGTAAGAATTTGCCTTCTGACATTTTTGAAAGAACGAAAGAAGCTAGAGTTCTTTATCATTCATGCTAAATGTACACCAAATTAAATCTACATCATTCAAATTTTACAATATAGACATAACTCGTCTATGACCCCCAAATTCAATGCATCTATAACACACTAACATAGATGAGTTTTGTATGTGTCATATCAAGTATAAATATTTCCGATATATGCCATATCTCTCTGTATAATTAACTAAGTGTGCATAGTACACATTTTAGTTTGTGTACTTGATGTACAAATTAATTTATTGTATTCTTTTACTCTTTTCTTATAATGTGTATATTAAGGTGCAAGTTATATCAATGCAAAGTGATTAATCAAAGCATTTTTGGAATTTTTTTTTTTTTTTTGAAGGCACATTTTTGGAATCTTATTAAGGCATAGATTAAATAAAAAATGGTTTAAGAAATGTACATTACCGTTGGAAAACCGGTGTAAAGTGGATTGCCAACGGGTGCGGTCTTATTGAGGAAGCTTTGAATTAAGGTAGGGCCCCCACTTCCCTTTTCTATATCCAGCACATTTATTCTGCTATTCACAGCTAAGTGCTGCTCTAATCTGTCTACATGTATGTATGTAGTCAAGCAAACTGATATACGGAGTAATATAAAGTGCATATAAGTTACTAAGATTTCATTAAATCAAAGTAACACAAAAATCCAAATCGATGTAAATATCGAAATATTTGAATTTGTATTTGCTAATTATTTTTTTTTGGAATACAAATCCGAATATGAAGCGAAATTGAAATAAGATATGTATTTGTATTTGATTGATATTTGAATAGCTAACGAATATTCGAATAATCATACTCCCTAATTTATATGTCAGTTTTCACAAATTTAACTTACAATTTTTCCACACAGTGGGACAATTTTTCCATTCCAATATGGTGTATAGCGGCATGTCTCACTTGTAACTGCTCAATGTCGCTCGTTGTTGGCTTACACAAGTACCTCTTATGATAAAGTCGAATAATTACTTTCGAAAGTTTATAAACACATGACCAGATGTTTCGATCTGATATCTTCAAGTATTCATCGAACACATCACTAGCCGTCCCGTACGCCATTTGACGAAGTACAATGGTGCACTTTTGGACGATGTGAAAAACTGCACCGGCCTCTCACAACAAACCGTTGAGTAAACCAAGGCACCTCGCGTTCAATATCGGCGAGCATGCGTAAAAACAAAGAACGGTTCATCCGGAAACGATTACTAAAATCTTTTGATGTGTAAACAAACGGAGTATTGAAGTATTGATGTGAAACAAAATATATTTTGGAGAAATTTTAGAGAGAATGTGAATATGTTGTATGGGTTTTTTATTTTAAAATAAGGAGTATTTGTAGTATACAAAATTAAAAAAATTAAATTTGGCCAACAACCTAAAATTACACCTTAAGACGGTTGGGGGGAAGTGGTTGTCTGCGGTAGCATCGGCTGCGTCAAACGTTTAACGCATGGCAGGTCGCATAATGCACGTATCACGAAGGAAGGGGGTAGTGTTTAAAACCCTGGGTTTTAAAAATGCGTTTGACGCGCAGGGCGTTATGCCTATATCCACTGCTCCTAGCAATAACGATAAATGAGGTAGCCTTTTTGCAAAACTGTAACCTTTTTAAAAAAAAGCTATAATTTTCAAATGATCTTAGAACTGGTTCTCTTTAATTTATTGTTATTACATTGTATTTATTTTTCTCACTGCCTCCATTCTAAAATGATTTACTTTTTATTATCACGGCTTCTCGATAAATTTTTTATTTGCTTATTTTAATTGATGATCTGATAAAATAAAATATTTATGTATCCTTTTATTTTATATAACTTTTGATGTATTTTTTATTTTTAATTTTTAAACCTCTGTGTTAATAAAATCATTTTAAAAGTAATATACATAAAATTAAGTTTTAATAGATGATCTTAAATATCTTAGGGACTAGATGATCTTAAATCTTTTACTCCCTATTCAAAAAATGAAGGTCCTAAAAATCAAAGGATTAGGGAGAAATGAAACGTGGTGGGGCATATAGAGTGCATATGTGTGCAAAACATGGCCAGCTATTCCATCCTCTCCCACACCTACTCCCTATACATACATACTCCCCATCTTCTTCCTCCCTCTTCTTCTACAACATTCCCTCCTCTCTCTCGATTTCTCCGATCACTCCTCTCAGCATCTCGATCTCCCCATGGCTGACGCAGAAGCCCAGACGGCCGTGCCCGTGGAGGTTGTGGAGCAGCCGCCGCCCCCCGTTCCGGAACCCGAACCCCTCAAAGCCGCTCCCAAAGACCTAGCAGAAGAGAAGGCTGTTATAGTCTCTCCCGCTGTTCCTCCTCCCCACGTGGAAGAGAAGGAGAAGGAGAAATCAGACGCCGCCGACGACGACTCCAAAGCTCTTGTCCTCCTCGATCCCAGTATTTGTTCTTTCTCTTCCCCTGTTTTTTCCCCTTTTTCGATTTCATCAGTCACGCTGCTTTTCATGATTAAAATACCAGAAATTTTTTAAATTAATTTCACTCGTTTAATTATTGCTATATAAATGAGTGATTTTACTTCCTATTTGATATCATATGAAATTGAACTGAATTGACTGAGAGCTGTTTTACTAATCTTGCTAACACCCATAAATATGACTGATGGCTTAGCTCTTGAGTGTTTTTTTACCGTTTCTGTGTTTGTTTTGACAATTTCTTCCTCCATTTGTTAGTTCATTGACTAGAGACAAACTTTAAAACTTTACAAACCCAACATAAAAAGGTACTGCTTAGTATTTACTACTTTTACTACGGTTTTGAAATATGGGAAGTTAAAGAATATTCATTATTGTATGCCCAAGAGTGTTAATTTGCATTTTTTTATATCTAAGCTCCTTTTGGAAAAAAGAAATGACTTCAGTAAGTAATTTTTAATTGTCATCCAAAGGTTGAACTGAGCGAACAATATTATTCTACAATGCATCAAATATGTAATTGCGTTCCACAACTTAACGAATAACAAGAAGCAAATTAAAAGATATAGACGTATGATCCTGAAAAGCCAATGTAATTGTCCTCTCGAGGTATGATCATCAAGATGATTAGCAGGGTAGCAATGACTGACCATCATCATTGTCCGTATGATCACATATAATATTTGAAACCTATGACCCTTGCAGAAGCTCCTGAACCAGAAAAGGAAGAAGAGAAAAAAGAGGGAGGATCTATTGATAGAGGTAAGGAGTAATCACAATGCATTGACTGTCTCTTTTTGAATGCGTCTTTGGAGGAGATCGGTTGTTCTCATTTGCAAGCTTCGATGACAGATATAGTGCTTGCTAGAGTAGCTACTGAGAAGAAGCATTCGCTCATCAAAGCCTGGGAAGAGAGTGAAAAGGCAAAAGCTGAGAACAAGTATGTCATCCATTTCTTTGTACTCTCTAAGAAGTTAATTGTATAAATGATTCATTATACGAGTTTTTTTTCTTTTTGCAGTATTCATCCTCATTTAAATACAAGTTTTGCACCGAATGCTCTAATACTCGTAGGAGAAATGAATTGGACATTAAATGATGTCTTTGTTTTCTGAAACATGCATATTGTGAAATACAATAATGATATTTACCCAAATCAACACGTGAACCAGAGGGGGAGCGGAGTGCTTGTCAGACTGTCAGTTGAACAATAGTGTGGTAACTAATTGTGAAAAAAAGTTAACGGGATGGCTCAATAAGGGTCTTATTTTTACTGAAAGAGATGAATTTTCATTTCATCCAAATAAGCAAGTCAAAAGCTACTTGTTATTCTCGTTTACGGAAGTGGTGAAAGAAGGAAAAAAAAGTGGAAATATAATACGTAGTAGTTCTGATTGCTATACAATGGCGAATTCTGCTAAGCTAATCTGGTATTTGATGACAGAGCTCAAAAGAAGCTATCTGAAATTGTCTCATGGGAAAACAAGAAGAAAGCAACCATAGAAGCTGATCTGAAAAAGATTGAGGTAAAAAGTCAAAAGTTTACCTTCTACTTTCTTGTTTATGTTTGCTCCTGACTTACCTATCAGTATTTGCTTGGTGTCATTATGATGCTTCTTCTCTTCCTTCACCCATAGTTTTTTCACTTGATTATGAAGATAATAATGAGTTGCTTATAGATTTGTAGCCGTGTGTCCATTATGCATGCATAGGGTATGCTTATAAGCTGCTTATAGATTTGTAACAGTGTCCATCATGCTCTTAGAGGGCATGCTTAACGAAACAAGTTTAAAAGCTAGTTGATCTAAATTTTACCCTGCAAGAAAAATAATAAGCTAGCTTATAATTATGAAAGGACACAAAGGATTTCTTTGAACCTATCTTAGTCAAAAATATGAAAGAGTCAAGTTATAAACCAAAAGCTCATAGAGCATTATTTGAAAAGCTACTCAAGGAAACTTATCAAATAAGACCTCTTCAGACGCTACTGTCTTGTGTGAATGTGTGATTCTACTGGAATTGTTGTTGTTGACATGCCAAACAAGGCCTAAAACCTCAATGCATGAGCAGGAAAAGCTGGAGATACAAAAGGCAGAATACATTGAGAAAATGAAGAACAAGATTGCAATGCTGCACAAGGAAGCTGAGGAAAAGAGAGCCATGATCGAAGCCAAACGTGGAGAAGAACTTATCAAGGCAGAGGAGTTGGCAGCCAAACACCGTGCCACCGGAACCATTCCAACCAAGGCATGTGGCTGTTTCTGAAGCTCTTTTAAGTTATCATTGAAGTTGTGTTTGTAAAGTTTGTTTCTTGGCTGGTTGATTTATTTATTCATAAACAGTGATATTTAGAAGTGTTGTGTGCTGGGGGTGTAGAAAGAAAAAAAAAATTGTTGTTCATTGTTAATGTGTGCATTATTTGAGAGTATATAACAGATAAAAACATGCAATGTAAGAGTGTGATGTGTTCTTTTTATTCATTCAAAGTTGTAAGATCAACAGTGACTGTAGATGCTGCAAAATTATATGACAAAATTGATAGTTTGTTTGGATCAAAATGGTTCGAACTTTCCCTTTGACCATTATCATGTTTGTGATTAGAATTAGTCTTTTGAATTATTTTTTTTAATGATAACATTAATTATGAAGACGCTAACATCTTCCTTGCAAATCCTAGATCTTCAAATAGTCTAAGGGTCCGTTTGGTGAGTTTGGAAATATGATTAAATATGAATTATGAAATCTAGAAAAATGATATGTGGTTTGAAATCTGAAACAAATTTGTGTGAAAAGATTTAAAGTTATATTTTAATTAGTGATAAGTGTGGATAACCGGCAACGAGGGTGGTTGGCAGCGACAATAGTAGCCGGTGACGGAGAATGATCATTGATTGAGAGAGATATCAAACCCCCATATTGATATCTCCCAAATTCAGCAGATATCGAAACCCTCCATTTGAAGGATTTATGATATCTGGAGATATCAAATTGGATATCGTTTTTTACTTCACCAAATATTTAAAAAGAATTATGATATCTGGAGAAATCAAAATTCTATCTTGTTTACTCACCAAATAGACCCTAAGTAATCATTTGTCTTCAAAATGGTATGAGATTGATTCTCAAAAAGTAGACTAAAAAGTTACGAATCAAACAGTTGTTACTAAAGTGCTAAATAGTTTTATTATTTTTTGATATTTTTAATTCTTATTTCTTTGGAACGATTTTAATTTACTTCATCTTAGTCTCTTAAATTACTTTATTGCGAAGTAGAGCTCAGTTTATATTTTTTTATTTAGGAAAATCATTTTAAGTATGTTGTCACAAATTACAACTAAAGTTGCATTTTGTTCAACTTATTTTTTCAGTTTAATACTTATTCTTATTAAAATCAGATCAGAAACAATTTTAAATATAGTTACAATCGGGTCACACCCGACAAGATTTTCAAAAGATTAAATTAATTCAGATCATGCGAATGAAATGTAGCCTAAACAATACACTTATTGAGTAAGAATACATAAAAAAAAGTTTGTACTCCAAACCTTTTGAAGACACAATTTCTTCTCGTTTCAAAACAATATGACGTTAATTTATTTTTTTTTACGTTAAATTATTTTAATTATAAAACCCAGTCGTATTGAACCATTTATCCGGTATGGTACGAATTCTATTAAAACATGGACCCTATACTTTTGTGCTATATACTATTTGAGAAAAAAATATGTTGAAAACTAACCCTACTACCAAGTCAATAATGTCACCATAAAACTAAGTTTAACACCATCAAGTTATTTTTCACACCATCAAATAGAGTTAAGTTGTGCAAAACACACTTATTTTTTGTGAGACTTTATTGGGTTTGTTATTCATTTTTTTTTATTTATTGAAAGGAGAAAGGCAATGGTGGTGGGTGGTAGAGATTCATTCTGTTCCCCCACTTTAATCCACAAAAATCTGAATGCAGCAAAAAGAAATGCTGCCAGAAAAACTGCAAATATGTTTATTTACAAATGGGGAATAAAGAAACAAGTCATTTATAATGCTCCATTTTGACTCTTCCCAATCATTCCCATCTTTTTCTTTTTCTTTTTTTTTTCTTTTCATTGTTACGAGGTTATCCAGAAATCCATGGCAGCATGATCTTGGCATTCATCATCACTGGCTTTCTTTCTTTCTTTCTGATCAGACTAAAAGCTGTGGGGGGGTTCTTTGGGTTTTTCAAGAGAACCGTCGCCATTGCTTCTTTCCCTTCATCTGATTCAGTTTGAAGGGACTCCAAGTCTTTCTGCGCTTGGGGGTGTCCGTGAAGATTCCGGATGCTAAAGCTTGCTGGAGCCAAAGCTCAAACTCTTCTTCTTCTTCGTCTGTCACCTGATCAGCATCCAAATCCCATGGATACCTCCTGGTGCTTGAATTCGTCGACCTCTGGTTTGATTTCTCCAGCCCAACCATGTTCACGTGGAAGCTTGGTCTATGTGTGTTTGGTCTGCAAGACATCCCCTGAAAAACAATGGTGTATTTTTAAAAAAAACACACAAACACTTGAATTTATATTTATATATATTTGCGTGATAAACTAAAGTTCCCCATATTGACCTGACATATTGCCCATTCTGAGACGTCAAATATCTTGCTCTCTGCACAAACAAATGCGCGGGGTATCTCCATCTGCACGGGAAGGAATGTAGCGAAATATTGAATGGAGGGTAATACGGGAAATGTGTTCTCTTTTTAATTCAAGAAAGAAAAAAAAGGAACCTTTTGAGGTCGATCAAAGCCCAATGATCCTCTATGTTCTACCCATCCATCTCCATCTTTGGCTTGATGATACTGACAGCAATCCTGCTCAAGAGTAGGGGGTCGAGATCATCATTGCATTTCGTTTAATTATTTTATTTTATTATTTAAACAAAATCAAGAACGGGATTGACACTCATATGGATTCTTTAGACCCTTGGTGGCACATATGAAATGTGAAGAAGAGGAGGAAGTTGAACCTGACACCATCTGGCTTTAGCCTTTGTCCTCTTAGTGCAAGCCCAAATGTGTGATTTGCCACATTTTGTACACTGTATACACCTAGATTCTTCGGAGCAGTAATCCGATGCAGTGTCCTGCACCATAATCCCAGTAATTAAAGACCTTTAACATATAATTAAGAAATAAAAGTCATCACAGAAATATTAGTGGATAGAGTACTCTATTAGAAGGCCCTGCTGATCTATGCATCACTATCTTAGACTCTTCTTTCCTCAGCTGCTCATCATAGTCCCTCTTCTTCACGGCATCAGAAAGAACCTGAACAAAATACAAAACCACCATTTAATAACTCTACGAACCTGTGGGAGTTACTACAAATTTTACATTAAAAAAGGAAGCGATTAACAACATACAATGATAGATAGGCTTTGAAATGACTACCTCATAAGCAGACTGAAGTTTCTTGAATGACTCACTTGCCAGTGGGCTTCCCATATTTTTATCAGGGTGCACAAGCATGGCCTACACAAATCAAGCAAAGCAGTTAACTTTTCTTTAGTTCCCAAGAAAATATTATTGATATTATAATTTTACCCTCTTTTATTATGTCTTGTAAATGAATACTTTGATATTTATTAGGGGGGAAACATAGAAAAAATAGGAAATGCCATGTAAAAGGGCCATTGACAACTCCAAAAAATGCATAAAATAAGAACAGTAGGAAGTACCTTTTTCCGGTATTCCTTTTTCAAAAGGAGAGTATCGATTTTTTTCTGGCGAGAAAACCCTATGGCTTCATAGTGGTCGGCACTATTTATAATCCGCTTCATCTCAGCTAATGAATTTATGTCATCCTTGGAAACTTGTTTGGCTAAAACTTCTGTCTTTTTGGTTATGACTGTGGTGGTGGTGGTGGTGGTAACAGAAGGTTTGCTCGATGATTTGCATGAATGCACCTTTTCAGTGCTTTCATTGCTGTGATTAGAAGATTCGTATCCGGTAGAGAATTCTTCCTCATTGAAAGAATCATGTTCTATATGCTGCTCCTCAAAATGAGTGTCTTGATTGCTTTCGCGCAAGATGTCATACCGGTGAAGTAAGTAGTTGAGGATTCCATTTGAGAGGAAAGAAAGGTTAATAGAGATAAAAACTCCATGCCACCCGACTCGAACTTTGACAGAGTAAATAGAATATATAACTGCCATAAGAACCAGTAGCCTTGCATGGTTTGAAGAAAATAGATAACCTGTATGAAAAGATTCTTTCGTTAAGAGAATGCTATGATATGATGAGTTAATAGGACCCGCAAAACTAAAATTGCAATGCATATCATACAAATACTTCCATAGTCCCACCTAATATATGTCTTTAAGGTTAAGTTGGGAGCACAGAGAGATCAGAGAAAGCAAAAAAATGTCATGGACAATAATTTTTTAATGATCGGTTTTACCTTTGAAAGTAAGAAGGCAAAGTCAATTTTTTTAAAAAAGTTTAAAATTCTACATATACTTCGGCATGCTAGTCTTTATGTAATAGAAATATAAACATAAAATGAGTTTGAACAAATTTATCTAAAATTGATTTATTGCGGTCTAACCTGTTAGTTTTGTTTTAATTTCACTATATTTTGTTTCCTTCCAAATTTCTGTTCTATTTTCTCCCTCATTTTCTTTCACTAGCATTTCCCGGTTTCTAAATGGACCGACCCTACAGCCCTTACATGAGAGCTTTACATGGACCGGTTATATCATTCATATTTAATGGGCATACAAATCCTCCAAGTGCATGTGTACGGATGTGTATATACGGAGAAAGATGATGCAAAAAAAACCATACCTCCCACAAAAAACAATGCACCGGTTATCCAAAAGTTTGCATACATCCACAAAATTAAAATAGAAAAGAGGCCAACAATAAAAAGTCCGGAAGTATATCCTAAATACTGAATGGCAGCCGCGGCGCCTCCCTGAAAAAACATTCCCAGAAACACATTATTATGGTCAAAACTTATCATACAGCATTACACAAATATAAAATAATTTCATCACAAAATCAGTGGACAATTGGAAATGATTGATTTGATCAAAAGGGTTATAAATAAGAAAAGTGATGAAAAAGAACAAGAGTTTAACACAGATAATATCAATGGATCACAAATACTTACATCTACTATACTAGATAGAGCTAAAGAAAATGTCATGCTGTCATTATTTCATACCTCTCTTGTCTCTCTGTACTTGTCCAATTTCCCTTTTTTGTTCTATACCCATTGTTTATTTGCTAGAAATTTTTGCATTCTTTATTTGTTGGAAATTTTTGGATGTCAGTTTGGCAAGAAATCACTCACTTTCATTCAACCCCACCAAAAATACATAGCGGTAACTTTTGTAACTGGACATATACATCTAGACAAAAGGAGCACAAAATATTTGGAGATATGTTGAGAAATTAACCACAACAAACCCATGACAATCCCACAAGTCCGGAGGGTTTGGGGAGGGTGTGTGTGTGTGTACGAATACCTTACCCTTACTTGGAAGTAAAGAGTCATGTCTAGAAATTAAGAGAGAAATTCGGTACAGCAATGTATGTAGTTATGTACAAATGTTGGTTCCACAAAACTTGCTTAGGTCAAGGAAATAAAAACATACCATACTAAGAAGCACATAAACCAGGCAAGAGAGTGAAGTTAAACTCATGAAGCAACTCCACATGATAACAAGCAAAGCTGCAGATCCAAGCCCAAAAAATGACTTAAATCCCTGAATAATACAATCCTTCCAGCAACCTAAGAGCATCAGTAGATCTTTCCCCAGCCTCACACAACAGTAACAGACCATCGGCCAATGCCGCTCTATAAAGTTCAAAACTCTGTCCCTTAAGCAGCCCATGGTTTTCCTCACAGGAGAGTAACAGCCCTTCTTGGATTGTAACCATATCCATGCTTGCTTAAACAACCCGATATCTTCCATCATAAATAAACAGTTAAAATCAACAAGATTCACTTCAACTCTGCCCCCCAAAAAACAAGAAAGCAAAAAAAACCAAAATTCTACTTATACTCCATCCTCAACAGACATCCGTTGATCCGGGAAAATCACATATCTACATTGTGGCAAACTGATACCACCAAGAAAACCCATACTGTGCCACTAATACAATCTGATCCTCCAATACCATGAAATCCCCCTTATTAAACAAACAAGAACTACAGAAGCAAACCCAGCATTTCTTTAACAGCAAGTGGCAAAAACCAGGGAGAAGGAGATCAGGGAGATCCCATTTTCACAAGGTTAAAGCTGCAGCATTGAATGAACCCAGAAGCAGAAAACACAGAAAGAAACCTATACAGGCATATGAATTGCTTCACCAATACGTCTCTGGAAAATAAAAATAAAAAAAGCGCTCCTTTTACTCCGACAATCACAAGTCATCTGCTTTGGCCAAGACCACTACCACACACATCTTGCGACGCATCACGGCTCAGAGCCGAAACCCACAAATCCAAGAAATACGGATGCGCATAACAGACACACACAAGTGTAAAGATAAAACAATTCTTCCGAATCTTGTGATCTTTTTGACCCGTGATTTTTTTTTTTCTTTCTTTCTTTGTTTGGCAGAAACCCTAAGCTAGGCTTGGCTTGGCTTTTTCCCCCCACCGAGATGGTGCCTGTAGAAATGCTAATGATAACATTGTGAAAGGTTTCGAAAAGGGGAAAAAAAGGAATAATGGAGAGGGGAGGGTGGGGGATTGATTACATATGGAGTGATGACAATTGAGAAATGGATAGCAACACCCCTACTACACTTCCAAACCCCTTCCCCCAATTACGGCGGAGGTAAGTGTGTTTATGGTTTGAGATTGCCAACAAATGTTACTCTACAAACAAGGATTAATCCATCCGATCCACCCAGCCCTCTCTTTAAAAAAAAAAATAAAATTTAATACCTACATGGATGGATCGACTTAAGTCTAAATTTTATTTGGGTGGATCTGAAAGTTATTTTAGCTCATTCGGGCCAACAGGCCTGACCATATTCATCAAATACATTCATTTTATTATTAATTATCAAGCCAATATAAATTTTAGAATTTTCTATAATTCATTTATAATAGTTCAATTTACTCACCTCTCTTGAACAAAAATTAATAGTCTTTTAATGGATCAGTATGATGGATCTATTAAATATGCAACAATACCTTTGTTATGCTTTCTATGTAAATATGGTGAGTGGTGATTTTATTTTAAACATTTAAAAAGAGTTCAATGTTTTTTTTTTTGAATTTTTTTACAAAAAATATTTCTTGATATTTTATCCGGGCAGGGAGGGCCATGTGGGCAATTCGACCCGCTAAGATGAGCGGGTATGGGTAAAGAGTTTAGCCCATCATATCCAAGCCGGTTCAGGCCCGCCCATGTAAATAGGCTAATAATTTGTATCAAGTCCGGCCTAGATCCAGCTCGGATCCTTATTTGCCTAGGTCTAAATTCTTACCATATTTGAATTCGATATCCTCATATATTATAAATTATTCAAATAAAAGATTTTCATATTTTCAAGATTTGAGAAATATCAATGTGGGAATTCGATATTTCTCTCAACTATTGATCATCCATTCCCAGCATTTTAAATTTATATACTAATAATATCAGGGTACCTAACACATATAAGATCTTACGTGGAGCTCCATGAGGTCCCGGGACCCGTGGGACTCAAAGTTGGTCCGCCTCTGAGTGGGATGCGGTTTGTATTTCCTAAATTCAAAAAATGTCAAAAATTTCATTTGGAATGGTTATGATTTCGGAGATATCAAACTTGAATTTTGTTTAGATTTCACCGAAAACCCAAAAAATCTGTTCTGATATCAAAAGATATAAAAAGTCATATCTCATGCATTCACCTAACAGAACATAAATAGTTGTTTGACTTCATTTACATATTTTTTACAAAAAAAAATGTCATATTGTGTCAAACACCCCAATAACTTTGACCGTTTAAAATTGGAAACAAGTTGATAAAACACAATAAAATTTTAGTCTGAAAAATTGTTTATGATCAACGTTATCATTTACGGAGTAAGATAATAAGATATCAAATTGATTGTTGATTTTTTTTCATTAATGTCGGATTTTATCTTCTTGGAGGAAATCTCTTTTTGTAACCCTTCATAAACCAAATCTTATAATAATAACAATGCATTATATTGACGCATAAATCACATTATATTGACGCATAATCGCATTATATTTTTATTTATTTTCTAACTCTGTACAATATAGTATCTCCACTATTTTATTAACATGTTGAAACACATAGAATTGACTCTCCCGCTGTATTTGAACTTGGACAAATTTTGTATCCAGAATCTTTGAGATGATTCTTTGCCCAAAAAGAAATTCATTTCAAATTTCTTTTATTTAAATAGATGTTGGATTCAAGTCAAATATTCTCATAGGATACTCGAGCAAAATGTTCTCCTTAGTGTCTTTTCAATTCATACTATTTGTTTGTTTATTTATTCTACTTTTACATTTTGAAATGTTCAAATATGTATTTGTTTTTTATTAATTTCCAGACCATCGATGTAATATCTGTTCAGTCTTATAAATTTAACCTCTAAAAGCAAGAATAAGGTTCAAACGTTAGATGTGGAGAAATTCAGAGTGACTTCCGTACACTACACCGACATGCTTCTACAAATATGTACTACGTATTTGTTTATTTATTTTGCGTCTACATTTAAAATGTTCATCTTTTTTTTCAAATAACATCTCATTTTTTTTAGACGATTTCACCCTAAAGTCTATTGGTTTAATCATATAGGAAAGGATAAATTTTTAAGGGGACGTAAGTTAATTCAAGAACTAATTGATCTTGTTGATGGAATGATAACAATACAAACATTTTCATATTGTGATAAGTAATTTTTTTTTGTTAATTTCTTTATAAGGAAAGATCGTACATTGTCATAGATTTAAAATTTGTGGAGAAAAAAAGTTCAACTAGGGGTACACCAAAAATATACTTCAAAGTGTACACCAAAAATATGCACCGGCCTTTCGATAAAAAAATTGCACTAGCATTTGGTGTATGTGTGAAGCATCACATTAACATTACACTGGTATAAAATGAGAGTATATACCTTTGGTGTACAATTTGGGGTACAAGTTTTGGTGTATAAGTAGCTGAATTCAAAAAACATATACATATACAATCATGATAAAAGTACACCAAAAATGTATCCCAATTTATAAACCAAAGAAATACACCGACATTTTAACGGTTCACATTGACAAAAATGTTAGTTCAATTAAAAAAATGCACTAACATTTTTTGCCAATATAAATCATCACACTACCATCACACTAGTACAAATTGTCGATGCATGTCTTTGGATACAAAATGGAATACAAATTTTGGTGTACAAATAGCTTAATCCATACACGTAACCTCTTTTCGAGTACGGAAAAGATTTATACATATAGTATAACTCAAATTCTCCAACGGGGCCTCCTCATACAATTTTCAAGCCTAGAGCTAAAGCAAGAAATAAGCCCTATTAACTGGGCCGTTCTCTTACTTTATACTCCGTAATCTGCAATTTATAGTTCAGCTAAACGGATGGGTACCGATGCCACCCGATACCCTTGCCGATACAGACACCGTGCTGCCTTAACAAGCGGGTAAACTTTGGCTCGATTCAATTTTGACTCAAAACTCTATCCAAAAACAAATCAATGACTTAAGGCAATTCATAGGAAGGAAAACTGCGGGACATAGTCTTGTCTTTGATTTTGTACAAATAGAGAGAGGAGCAAGTCTGTGTCACAATAGTCACTCAACACCTACAGTCATTGCATAAACACAGCAACTCTAAATCACATCATGTGCGCCACATCATGTCTCGATACGAAAGTATCAAAACAGTTTAAGGTAAAATAACCAAAATTAGAGGTCTAGTACTAAAGAACAGCATCTGGAGGGAATGTTTGTTGAAGTATTCTTTCATACGAGACCGATTTCCATTAATCTTGTCGATAGACACAACGCCGTGAAACTATGGATGGATCATGTTGAACTGGAACCTAGACAGCTGTTGAGGAATTGTGGATATCACTGGTCCATATCTCTGTTGCCAATTGAATTGAAAGAGAGAAGAGATTGTAAGCATACACCACAAACGTCGGGTAATTGGTCAAACTCTGAGCTTGGGATCCATGTCATTGAAATGAGAATTGATGAGATGATTCAAATGATAAGTGCAACTTAGAATTGAAATGAGAATTGATGAGATGATTCAAGATACGGGGGTTCAAAAAAATTTGAAAAACGAAAATTTGGAAGCATTTCATCCAAATTTTACTGAAAAGTAATAACTACGCAAAGTTGCAAAACAAGCTATATGGGGGGGGGATCTGTATCTTGGTAATTCTGTAATACCTGAACATTGTCGTATAGTTCAAACAGCGGCACAGCAAGAAGTTTCAAGTTTTTGGGGACAGCAAAATATTCCCTCTCGGAGAGATGGACCACGTAGAGCTTTTTGCACTCCTGAGCCAACATCAAAGAACAAATACAACATGCTGAGTCAACTATGAATGTTTTTAAATGAGAGGAAGTTTCAATTCACCAACACAGCATGATAGCACTAGCATGATTATGACTGAAGTGTACCTTGGGCTTTGTTATGTGTGGGGGGCAATATGGATACATTATTGTTTCAAAATTTGGCCTCCACCAGACGGCCACACATTCACCAATCTGCAATTGTTTCACAAATAAATTTAATCACTGACCCAATTGGTATACAAAACTGACAAAAGAACCATAAAACCTTATACTTAAAACTTCATGTATTTTAACATAAAACTTGTTTCTTTTTAAATTTCACAAGTGCTACCAAAGAGCTAATCATGCGCCTTGATTTATATGTTAGTCATGCAAGATGAATTATGACATGGAAAAAGCAGATATCTTAATTATCAAGCCATCACTGTCTCATGATCATACCACCATCCCAACTAATTGGAATGAATGTGCTAATAATAATGAATAGGATACGAAGTCTAATATAATGTGTTGACAGCTTACCTGCCAATCTGGCTGAACAGTAGAAGAATTAGCTGCAAGTTTGCTGGAGAGTTTCCTTTTCAAACCATCAATTTCTGTAATGTTTTTATACAAGGGTGAGAATTTAAAAAAACAGTAGGCAGATGAAATCTATAATTGGAAAACAATAAATTTATATTAAAAATTTTAAATATGGTCAGTACAGGAATAAGTAATACAAGTAGCTTTTAAAGACATAGAGAGAGATGAAGAAGAATAAGAAAAAAGAAACAAACCATTCTCTCCAGGCTTCAAACGTCCACCAGGAAGTTTGCAAAATGTGTTCCCAATTTGAAGAAGAAGGATATGAGGATGATTATGCTCTTGCACCTGAATTTTAGATCACACAGCTTATAGTCATCATCTAACAATACAAAGTAACCTGATAATGCGGGATCTGATCTAACCATATATTAGTGAGCAAGACAAAATTTTATCCACACCACACAAGAGTGACGAGATTCTTTGGAAACGGAGTGAAACCACGAAAGAAATATAAGGCAAGAACATAATAAGGGATTCCACTATGTTACCCATTTCCCCATCAAACATAAATCATGCTTGAAGTAATTGATCTTGTCCATTGACAGTGGAGCTAAAATACTCATTTTTTACAATGTGTTAGCTTCAAGTAAATAA